TAATTTTTGGTACGATAGTAAACAATTGATCCTACTAAGTGGTACCAAGAGCAACATGACTTTGCTTTGACTATGGCTATAACGTTTGGCACAATGGCAAACTAATCTAGTCAAATGAAAGGGATTGATGTATTAGATGCAACTAGTACATTTGTTTCTTATTACAATATCCAACGTATCTGATTGGTTTTGAGCGTTGACAATTGAGTATGTGTTAGGATCAAGCGTTTACAGTCATATAAAAAATTGTAACTTTTAGCAAAAACACAAGTTTATTTTTTAACTAAGTTTACCAAGCAAACGTCATGTTTAATCATTACTCCGATCCAAGCCACCTTAGTTCCTAGTGGGCATTGCCATCTAGGCAGGGTGTTAGCATTACCCAATTATTGTTGTTGTAATAGATCTAGAATGCCTAAGCCAACTTAAAGCACGAGACCTGTAGTACTAATCTAACTTCTAGATGACACTAATTAATCAGCATGGTTTTTATTTCATAGAGTTGAATATGCATGATTATGCAAAAGCTTACATGTATACATTTTAATTTATTTTTACCTATGTATATACATAGTTTGAGCTAAGCAGTTGAACCCACAGAACTCGCACTAGTACTGACTCTACATTGTTCCATCATTTAACATGTCATGGCAGTTTGTAGCTCACGCGTGTGGTTTTCCTGACTAGTGCACGAGCAACACTTATGCCAACTAAAGGTGTCTCAACGATAGTTAATGTGTCTAATCAGTGGCGGACCCAGGATTTTCATGAAGTGGGTTCAAGATATAAAAATATACCTAATATTATTTGTAATTTTTATGAGGCTAACAACATACATACCTGACTATACTAAACAATGTTAATACATTTGAAAAAAAATTACATTGACTTATGAATGAGACGGTACATAACAAGATAGACGAAAAACTAGGCTTCAATATAAACTAAGAAAAGAAAAGAATATTATGAATGATTTCTCTTCATTCAACATTTAACAAATAAAAACAAAATATTAAACAAAATAATTATAACCTTAATTTCAGAATCAAATATATAGAAATATACCTAATATTATTTGTTGATTTTAGAATGATAAGGGATTTTATAGTTGAAGAAATAAAAAATAACCACAATAATCATATATGTATATATAAAGACTAGAATCAAGAGCGAAAAACATTCAACAAAGAAGAAGACAAAAGGGTTTTTAGAATTGAGAATAATAGGGATTAGTGCCTTTTTAGTTGAGTTTTTTTTAAAATTAAAAACAAAAAGGACAAAATTTGTTGACTATTGGACTTTTAATTGTAAAAGTTAAAAGTTGTTATACTTTTTATAGTTTCTAAGTAACTAAAAGGACAAAAATTACACCTACATAGAGGACAAAACTGTGTGTGAACGTTTTATATATCAAAAAACGAATTAAAACTAAAATGTGGCAATGGGGCTTCAATCCCGGGTTGGCTGGGAAAATTGAACCCCCTCAACCACTCAGCTAAGCTTCATACTTGTGTTAGTGGGTTCAAAATTTAATATATAGATATAAAATTTTAAAAACTGATTAAATATACATATATATACAGTGTTATATTTCAACGAAGTGGGTTCATATGAGCCCACTTGAACCACTGTAGGTCCGCCCCAGTGTCTAACTAGCTCGAAGTTGGTGACAAGTTTGAGTGTCTATGTATATAATTGGCCAATTAATTAACTACGATTAAGCATTATTATCGAATGTTCAATCATATATCACACATTTAATTTAGAAGTCAACAATGAACAGGTTCAGACCTATCACATCCTAATTCTTAGCTGCCCCTCAACAGTTAAAAGTGAAAAAATATTGACCTTGGCTTGTCAATGAAACGGAACTGGTGTTTTTTTTTTTTTTTGTGTGTTACTAAGGCTTTAAGATTTTCGAAAAATCGAAGGCACGAATCATCATAATCATGAAAGGGAAACATTTTTTATTTTCTTGCTCCATTTTTCTTTCCATCTTACTAATTTCCACAGCATTAGACACAATCACAACAGAAAAACCAATTAGAGATGGTGACACAATTGTTTCAGCTGGAGGGGTTTATGAGCTTGGATTTTTCAGCCCTGGAAATTCGAAGAATCGCTACGTTGGCATATGGTTCAAGAAGATAGCAACTAGAACTGTCGTTTGGGTTGCCAACAGAAACATTCCACTGAATGACAATTCAGGAGTGTTATCACTCAATCCCAATGGAATTCTTGTACTTGTTGACAATTCCAATGCCTCAATTTGGTCATCAAACTCATCAAGATCGTTAATGAATCCAAAAGCACGGCTCCTGGATTCCGGTAACCTTGTTGTGAGTGATGGAAATGATAGTGATCCAGAAGTTAATTTCGTGTGGCAGAGTTTTGATTATCCAGGAGATACTTTATTACCTGGGATGAAGCTTGGACGTAATTTGGTAACGGGAATGGATTGGTACATAGAGTCATGGAAGAGCACGGATGATCCTGCTCCTGGTGAATATATAGACCGTCTTGATTCTCATGGATATCCACAATTTTTCGTGTGGAAAAGTTCGTCTATAGTATATAGCACAGGGCCATGGAATGGTATCTCATTTAGTAGTAGTCCTAAAAATCAACCAGCTATATATTATGCTTTCGAGTTTGTTATTGAACAGAAGGAGATTTACTTTAAATACGAGCTTAATGAGTCCCTGCCCACCAGGGTGGTGATCAATCAGGCTGGAATGGTAGAACACCTAACATGGATCGAGCGTAATCACAAATGGATAGTCTACGTATCAACACAATCTGATAATTGTGATCGTTTTGCTTTATGTGGTCCTTATGCAAGTTGCAACATCAATAACTCTCCTCCATGTGACTGCTTGCGAGGTTTCGAGCCTAGGTATTGTTGTGTGACCATCTCATGTAAATGTTTAAGCTATTAGAGAGATCATACTTTTAGTTACTTATTTATGCCTTCACACGACTCCTTTGTCTGTTCCTATACCATGTTAATTCGTTAATTGTGTCTTCACAGGTATCCTGAACAATGGTATGCAGTGGACTGGTCAAATGGTTGTATAAGGAAAACTTCTTTGTCTTGTAACCAAGATGGTTTTCTTAAATTTTCGAATATCAAGATGCCGGATTCTAGACACTCCTGGTATAATGTAAGCATTAATCTTGAAGAATGCAAGAGTATGTGCTTGGCTGATTGCAATTGTACAGCCTACTCAAATCTTGATATAAGAAATGGCGGAAGTGGATGCTTACTATGGTTCGGTGAACTCATTGATATTAGAGAGTACAACAAAAATGAGCAACACCTGTTTGTGAGAGTTGCTGCTTCAGAATTAGGTAATGACCCTACTCTATACCATTTTTGTGTTCTTTTGCACAATATAAGCACAACTCTTTAGAATTTAAGGAACTTTACTATCTGATGTCACTGATAGTAACATATGATAGTCGCAGAAGCAATTCATACTGATATTGCCAATTCATATGTCAATTGAAAACTGCTTATGGACTTTTTATTAAACAGATTCAGTCAGGAATCGGAGGGGAAAGAGGTCAGCCCTGATTGCGGTCATTTCAGCACTAGTAGCAACTTCTATCCTCATCTTTGTAGCTTGGTTTACCTTCCAAAGAAAGAACAAAAAAACAGATAAACATACTGGAGGTATTAGAAAATTGTTAACTGTGAATGCTTATTTACCTCCATCTAGCTAACATTGTTCGACTTTATCAAATGATTGAGGAGAAGTTCAATTATATCATGTCTGTGATCGAAAAATATATGTTGACAGGTTCAGAAGTTGGAAACAAGGACCTCGAATTGCCCTTGTTTGATTTAGTTACTGTTAGTACTGCCACTGAAAGTTTCTCTTCTGCGAATGTGATTGGTGAGGGTGGCTTTGGACAGGTTTACAAGGTAAATCAACTTTGATCTTCAACTAAAAGCTAGAAGGGACATATTTGACCCTTGAGAGAAAATCGCAGGGTATTCTACCAGATGGACTAGAGATAGCAGTAAAGAAGCTATCAACGTATTCTGCACAAGGCGTTCAAGAGTTAAAAAATGAAATTGCTCTCATTTCCAAGCTGCAACATAGGAACCTTGTCAAGCTTTTGGGTTGCTGCCTTGAAGGAGAAGAAAAGATGCTAATCTATGAGTTTATGCCCAACTCTAGCTTGGACTGTTTCATTTTTGGTCTGCTTTTCGTGATTCATTAACTAAATATTACTACTTGATAAGTCCTCAATATCTCTGTTATCACTCAAGAATTGGTTTACATTGTGCAGATCCAAGCAGAAAAGCTTCACTTGCATGGAAGAATCGCTTTGAAATTTCTGTGGGAATATCTCGAGGTCTTCTTTACCTTCACCAGGACTCAAGATTTAGAATTATTCATAGAGACCTCAAGACCAGCAACATTTTACTAGATGGAGACATGAATGCCAAAATTGCTGATTTTGGCCTTGCCAAAATTTTTGGTGGAGAACAAGTGGAAGGAAATACTAAGAGAGTGATAGGGACTTAGTAAGTTCTACAAATCTTTATGATAGACATTCAATCAGTACTTGAACTTAAATTTGATGAGTTGATGCAGTGGATATATGTCACCTGAGTATGCTGTTGATGGGAAATATTCAGTAAAATCCGATGTATTTAGTATCGGCATTATCATTCTAGAGCTAGTCAGTGGCAGAAGGAACAGGAAATTTCGTCATTTGGAACATCATCACAATCTTTTGGGACATGTAAGCACATACAACACTAAACTTCGGTCCCTTAACTCACTTTTTCTTTAGTGAATGCATTTGTATAAATGTGTTCTGTTTGTATTTTAGGCATGGATACTTTGGAATGAAGACAAAGCGTTGGAACTGATGGACGAATGTTTGAAAGAATCATTTTCAGAATCTCAAGTGTTGAGATGCATCCAGGTTGGTTTGTTGTGCGCCAAAAACACCCTGAGGATAGGCCTACAATGGCATCAGTAGTTTTCTGGTTGGGAAATGAAGGCCTGGTTCTTCCTCAACCAAAGCAGCCTGGATTTTTTATCGAAAGGAATTCAATGGATTCAACAGAATCAGCTCAATTTATCAGTTAGCTCGTTGTAATTGGGTAAGGCTATAGTGAATTCAAGTTCAATCAACACAAATTATATCAAATTAATTAAAAGAAAATCTGGAAGTGTGTACACACATTTCAGTACACACTTTGTAGCACAATTATCCGGATTCACACTGGAAAGTCCGACTTTTTGGGTGAAACTAAAGTCTCCTCATCAAAAGCAACTCCATTCTCAGGCTCAAACAAAGATATTTGACTAAGCATTACCTATATCTTTTTGAACAGTTCCTTGAGTTGAAGATTTGGCCAACTAGTCTTTATATTTTTTTTTCTCAGTTGAATAATATTAGATAGTGACTTTACAACTTTTTAAAATGAAGGCATTAATATTAATAGAAAATAAAAAAGACATCTGTTCCGTTTTCTTAGTTCTGCTCTTGCTAGTCCAAGATGTCACATTCATTTTAGGCAGATTATAGGCAATTTACTCGAATACATTTCATGTGTTTACACCAAGAAAATAGATGCATGCCATATGTTTGTACGAATAGTTCTATAGCGTGCAATTGCAAACACCAGATTAATGGTGGAAATGGGAAGTCAAAGGCATACAACTTTTGACAAGTTCAAACTTTGACATCTAATTCTTAGAAGCAGTTGTGATTGAACTTTCATTAAGAGGTTTAGAACATTCAAAGAAGTGTTTTATTTTCTTAATTTTCTTTATATAGAACATTTTTGGACATGACTGTTAATTTTAAACTGAGAAAAAAAAAGTTATCAGTATTCTTTTCTGTGTCAAGGCTTTTTTAAACTTGTCAATCAAAAACATGAGTCAGAATCTATCAAAAGGGCTACTGTTTTTATTCCTTTGCTCCCATTTTTTCTTCATCTTACTAATTTCCGCGGCATTAGACACGATCACAACAGATAAATCCATTAGAGATGGTGACACAATTGTTTCAGCTGGTGGGATTTATGAGCTTGGATTTTTCAGTCCTGGAAATCCGAAGAATCGTTACGTTGGCATATGGTACAAGAAGATATCACCTAGAACTGTTGTGTGGGTTGCAAACAGAGATATTCCACTTAATGACAATTCAGGAGTGTTAACACTCAAACCCAATGGGATTCTTGTACTTGTTGATAATTCCAATATCTCAATTTGGTCATCAAACTCATCAAGATCTTTAAAGGATCCAAAAGCAAGGATCCTGGATTCCGGGAACCTTGTTGTCAATGATGGAAATGAGAGAGACCTGGAAATTAATTTCGCGTGGCAGAGTTTTGATTATCCAGGAAATACTTTTATACCTGGCATGAAACTTGGACGTAATTTGGTCACGGGCATGGATTGGTACATGTCATCATGGAAGAGCATTGATGATCCTTCTCCTGGTGAATATATAAACCGTCTTGATTCTCATGGATACCCGCAATTGTTTGTGTGGAAAAATTCAACTATAGTGTCTAGCTCAGGGATATGGAAAGGTAATGCATTTACTGTTAGCGCAAATAGTAAACCAAATACACATTACACTTCCAAGTTTATTATTAATCAGCAGCAAATTTACTACCAATTCAAGCTTAAGAACGAGTCACTGCCTAGCAGGATGGTGCTTAGCCCGGAAGGGCTGATACAACACATAACATGGATTGAGAGCAGTCAGAGTTGGTTTCTCTACTCAACAGTACAATTTGATAACTGTGATCGTTTTGCTTTATGCGGTCCTTATGCAAGTTGCAACATCAGGAACTCCCCTCCATGTGACTGCTTGCAAGGTTTCAATCCTAGGTATTGTTAAAATGAGTGATCATCAAACCTTAAGCTATTAGAGATAACACACTTGATTACTTAGTTATGATTTTACACTCCCCTTCATGTGTGCTTGATTCTATTTCTTGGGCCAAGCACATAGATATTATATTGATTACTTAATTATGACTTCACAGGGTTCCTCAACAGTCTGCAGCAGATTGGTCTACTGGTTGTGTTAGGAGAACTTCTTTGGATTGTAACCAAGATGGTTTTCTTAAATTTACGGGCATCAAGATGCCTGATTCTAGAAACTCCTGGTTTAATGAGAGCATTAACCTTGAAGAATGTGAGAAATTATGCTTAGCTGATTGCAACTGTACAGCCTACTCAAATCTTGATGTTAGAAATGGGGGAATTGGATGCTTACTATGGTTTGGAGAACTCATTGATATTCGAGAATTGAGCCAAAATGAGCAAAACCTGTTTGTGAGAGTTGCTGCTTCAGAAATAGGTAATAACCCTACTCTGCACCATTTCCTCATTTTGTTGTTCAATATAAATGCACAGCTCTTTAAAACTGAAGAAGCTCTGGTCAGCAAGTCACTCATTCAGTTCATGGCCAACTCATATGTAAATTGAAGACTGCTTATGAACTAATTATTGAACATATTCAGACAGGAAGCGGAGTAGAAAGATGTCAGTCCTGATTGGTGTCATTTCAGCAGTGGTAGCAACATTTATCCTCAGTTTTTTAGCTTGGTTTTCCTTCCAAAGAAGGAAAAGAAGAATAGGTAAATATAGTTGAGTCACTCTTGTCTACCAACTTTATAAGAAAATTGTCAAGTCTAAATGCTGTGCTGGCTAGGTGAATTTTCTATCTAGCTGACATTGTTTGCCTTTACCAAATTCTCATTGATATCATGTTTGTGGTGGGCAAATGTATATTGACAGGTCCAGCTGTTGAAAATGAGGACATGGAGCTTCCATTGTTTGATTTAGTTACTGTTACTAGTGCCACTGGGAACTTCTCTGCTAAGAATGTGATCGGGAAGGGTGGATTTGGACCGGTTTACAAGGTAAATCAACTTTGATCCTCAACGTCTAACTTGAATTGGCATCTTTGACCCTTGACATAAATCTCAGGGTATCCTACCAAATGGACAAGAGATAGCAGTAAAGCGGCTATCAAAGCATTCTGGACAAGGCTTTCAAGAGTTAAAAAATGAATTTGTTCTCATTTCCAAGCTGCAACACAGGAACCTTGTTAAGCTTTTGGGCTGCTGCCTTGAAAGAGAAGAAAGGATGCTAATCTATGAGTTTATGCCCAATGCTAGCTTGGACTATTTCATTTTTGGTCTGCTTTTCATGATCCATTATTAAATAGTACTTGATATAAGTCCTCAATATCTCTGCATCACTCAATGATTAGTTCTACATTGTGCAGATCCAAGCAGAAAAACTTCACTTTCATGGAAGAACCGCTTTGAAATTGCTATAGGAATATCTCGAGGTCTTCTTTACCTTCACCAGGACTCAAGATTAAGAATTATTCACAGAGATCTCAAGACCAGCAACATTTTATTAGATACTAACATGAATGCCAAAATTTCTGACTTCGGCCTTGCCAAAATATTTGGTGGAGATCAAGTGGAAGGAGAAACTAAGATTATAGTAGGGACATTGTAAGTTTCTACACATCTTTAAATCGTATAATCTTTATTATATTAGATCAGTACATGAGCATAAACTTATTGAATTGATGTAGTGGATATATGTCCCCGGAGTATATTGTTGATGGCAAGTATTCAGTAAAATCAGATGTATACAGCATCGGCGTAATCATTCTTGAAATAGTTAGTGGCAGAAGGAACAGGAAATTTCATCATTTGGAACATCTTCACAATCTTTTGGGACATGTAAGCACATACATTACGCAACTTCATTCCCTTAATTCACTCTTAGCTTTCTATTGTGAATACATTTGTATAAATGTGTTCTGTTTGTAATATAGGCATGGTTACTTTGGACTGAAGGCAACGCGTTGGAACTGATGGATGAATGTTTGAAAGAATCATTTTCAGAATCTCAAGTGTTGAGATGCATCCAGGTCGGTTTGTTATGCGTCCAAAAACTCCCAGAGGATAGGCCTATAATGGCATCAGTGGTTTTTTGGTTGGGAAATGAAGGTCTGGTTCTTCCTCAACCAAAGCATCCAGGTTTTTTCACAGAGAGGAATCCAATGGAATCTACTGATGAAGAATGTCTAAGTAACAACGCGACGACGTTAACAGTTCTTGAGCCAAGATAGACAAATAATCACTATTGGATGTTTTGAAATGTATTTACTTTGTCTTGTTTGTCAAACAGTACTAGTGTATATATGATAGAATATACTAAAAGAGATAGTTTAATGCCAGTGTTCATATCAAGGCAGGGCAAATAATTGATATACACTTCTTGTCTTTGATAATTGAGCAATCAATGGACTAATTATTGGCAAAATTTGTAAGCATAAGTAGTTAGAGGAATCTATATCATGCATTACTTTTTTGGGGGACAATGAATATATTCATCAAACATAGTTGCTATACATGATACATAAGCCCTATTCTATATGAAGTATTTTTTTTTGTTTCCCACTCGGTGTCTGGAGCCCACATTGGAGCTCCGGTTAAATTCAAATTGCCCATAGCAGGACCCATTCGGGGTGGAGCTCCCAACAAGATTTTTTCCGTACTCAGCTATATGAAGTATTTTTAATGAAGTAAAGTCCATAACAAATTTGATGAATAATAATAACTCAAATTTCAAATCACTCACAAACTTACTATATATACGTAGGAGCATCAACTTTAGAGAATCCTATTAGCTTATGTTCCAAGTTGTTTAGAACTACCACCATATTGTTGTGGTGAGATCCTTAACCAGATGGCTAGATTCGAGCCCTAAAAAAGAAATTGCCTCCAATAGATAAATTTTACATTTAAAATAAGATTTTTCAGCGTAAATGCAGATTAGAGAGGTCATTCAGAATTCAGAAGTATTCTAGTTTAGGGCAGGAAATTGTTTCAGGACACCTTAAGGGCAGTTTGGTCATTATACATTAGTTTTTAATTCTTTATCAGTTGAAAATGAAAAATCAAAATGAAAATTCAGTTGGTGGCATTACAGTAATTAAGTTGAATATGATGGCGAGTTTTTAAAACATCAGATCGAAGTAGACGTACAAACAGACTTTTTTCCTCTGCTCAACAGCTAGCTTCTTCTATATACCCACCCACCCCACTCCCACCGACATCTTCAGTACAGAAATGGCAATGCTTCAATGGTTTCTTCTTCTTTGCATTTTCTTCATCTCAGCTTCTGCTGCTAAAGTTCAAAGTAAGGATTCTTTATTTTTCTTTTTATATTTTCCATTTTTTAATTAATGTTTCTTATGTGTGTTTTACTACTTAAACTATCTTACTGTTGGATCTAATTAAAGAATGAGTTTCAATTTTTGGTGTATAATTTATTGATTAAACTATAATGTGCTGATTGCTGAGTAATTTCAGCATTGAAAGATTTTAAGTTCATGCAAATAGGATTTCAGTTATAATATATAAAGTGCATAGTTTCTGAGATTGATAGATCTACTTTACTAGACTTTGTTAAATGATATTATCTGGTTGCTCAATAGTGATCAATATTTAGTAGTGTGCAAAGTTGTGCTTTGGCAATTCGGGATCCAAATTTGAGATTTTCCTTGGGAGGTATCGGGAAGGATTTGGAATATGTTATTTGTACAATTATGGGATTACTAAAGATATATCATACTAATAGAACATTGGTTTCTATGTGATTCTTGCCTTGTTAAGCTAGCTAATGGTATAGGAACATCTTGCATTTATGGCACAGACCAGAAACTATGTAGTCAACCTGCAAATTCTGCTTTTATTGGCATGTTGCATTTATAGCACTGACCAGAAACTATGTAGTCAACCTGCAAATTCTGATTTTGTTGGCATGTTGCATTTATAGCACTGACTAGAAACTATTTAGTCAATCTGCAAATTCTGATTTTGTGAATAGTTAGGGGAAGCTGCTCAAATGGGCTTTTCGGTCTTTGTAATTTGTGGTAACATGAGAAGATACCCGTAGAGATATGAAACCTAGCCACAAAAGTCATCTCATGTGAAGAGGATTGCCTAATTCCATATAAGGAGACCACTAGTCATTCTCCAACTAATGTGGACTCTACTCCATTCCAACAATATGACACCTGTGCCTAACTCAACCCCAAAATTAGCTCACGAGGGGAGGGTTGTCGAAGTTCATATAAGCAAACCATTAGTCTTTCCCTAACCAATGTGGAACTCTAACCCACTAATGGAAGGACAATGCTCAAGTTGCTTTAGTTTATGCCTTCGGATACTATGTTGGTGCCTAATTTTGTATCTTTGTCTTTTGCTTCTTATAACTCTCTTGATAATATGGTTGCTGTTGATAATCTTTCCATGAGTGTGCTAGAATCATAGTCACAACCTAAATGATGTATACTGACATGTGTCTCAAGCCTCTTGGGTTTAGATGTAATTTACCCTTGTCATTCCAAATGTGTATTCCTTCAAGCAGATAGCTTCTCGATCTTGATTCACTATTATTGCCTTTATGGTCAACCTCTAACATATTGGCTTGATAAACTACAGCCAAGGTAACTGATAATCCTGCTGATGAGCTGGTAGCTGCCGTTAATAGTAACAGAACTGCGAATAAATTATCCTCCTTATACAGTAACCCTGGCTTGGCATGCTTGGCTCTGCAATATATAAAAGCATACGGAGGTGATTGTAAAGTAGTTGGAGGGCCAGATGGAAAGAAACCTGCTGAATCTGAATTCGCCCAAGAATTTGCCCCTAACTGTGGTGTGCAGGCGTCATCGCTTGCTCAAATAACTGGAAGATTTCTCGCATGTCAATCCAAGTATGCCGAACCTTCTGAAGCATTCAATGATATTCTTATAAGAAATACCAAGAGTTTGGATATTCTCTATAGCAAGAATCACACTGAGGTTGGTGCTGCTGTGAGTGGCTCCGGTGGTGGTGGCCCCTATTTCTGGTGTGTACTCTTCAGCAATGGCAAACCAAAGAGTAGCTTTTCCACAGGGGGAGTAGAGCCTAAGGTAAGTAGACCTGGATGCTTCAGTGGTTCTAATGACCAATGCAGTGGTGCTAATTCTTTGTCTCAAACCATGTATCTCTGGACAATCACTGTAGGAGCTTCCGTTGTACTGCTTTATGCCTTAGGAGTATAAACCATCAAGGGATTTGTTTTTTGGCTTGATTGAACGGCCTCTTTTTCTGTTGGCAATGACTTCATTTTTTTGAATTATTATTTTGTGAGTGTTTTCGAGAACATTTCCTTGTTCTACTTATTGTAACTACCTCTGAATATAAATCTATATGCTGGTCAAATGAGAATCAAATGCATAGTTTTACATAGTTCCAGGAACTAGGAAGGTAGGCATTCTGGGATTTATGGGCGTCTTGACCTGCTAAGATATCGACCCGCCTTGCCCTACCCTGATTAGCATTTTTCAAAAAGAAGTCCCGCCCCATTTATGTTATCTTTCTTTTCTCCTCTTTATTTCTATGAGCCAAAGAAAATAAATCTTGAATAGAACTTATTATTGACTTAATTAACTAATTAAACTATGTACGAGTGACGAGAAGGAGTTGCTCGGATGGTAAGCACCCCTCACTTCCAACCCGAAGGTTGTGAGTTTGAGTCACCAAGGGAGCAAAAGGGGTGGGAGCTCCTAGGGAGGGTTTAAAAAAAATATGTACGAGTTACATATTTCTTCAGCTTGGAAGGTTAGAGGTCGCTGTCGATGACACCATCTCATTACCATGTGACCTTTAGGCTTCACTTCTAGTAAAATATATTATGCAGATTGTTATTACATAATATGTAATTTCAATAGATTTTCCCGGTTTTAATCCTCGGGAAGGAAGTTACCTTTGCTAGGGAGAATTTTACTTGCTAAAGAGGGAATCCTGAATAGTTGCCCCCAAAGCTGGTACTGAACACCGGGTAGAAAACCAGGAAAAAGTTTGCACAAAACTTGAGTTTGGTGATAGAGATGTGGAAAAAGATATGATGAATGTGATTGCAAAGAAACACTCCCCCAGGACATGATGTTGATTTGTAGTCCTGAGGAAAAATAATTGCTCAACAAAGTCAGTGGCTATCATTTAGCCATTCAGATCTACTATTAGTCATTATACTGTGTAACAACTTATATGTCCATTTCCATCATGTTCTGACAATTTGCACAACTTGACACAATGGTCCCGATGGCTCTTGAGTCTTAATCAAATATCGGAAAGATATACACAATTGTTCCGTGTAAGCATGTTAGTAAATGCTCGTCCAATAACAATCAGGGGCGGAGCTGCATGGTCTAGAGGGGGTTCAATTGAAGCCCCTTCGTCAAAATATTTTGCTGTACATATAGGGATGAACAGAATTTCTGTATTGTATATACATTAGTTGTTGAATCACCTTTATACAATAGAAGGTTCTTGAATTTCTGGTTCCACCATTGCTATCTTGGTTGAAGAATTGTTAATGTCAAAACATTGTCACTGATACATCTTTTCTCATTTGAATCATCTGTTTCAGCTGTACTTCTCTCTATGAAGAAACCAGGCTCCTTTGGTTGAGGTAATGCCACTTCTTCATGGCTTAACATGAAAACCACTGATGACATTGTTGGTCTTTCATCTGTTAGTCGTTGAACACATAACAGTGCCACATGAACACATCTTAGGACTTGGGATTCCACAAACGATTCTTTTAAACAATCATCGATTAGTTCCAAAGCCTTCCCTTTATTCCATAATAACCAAGCCTATAGAAAAATCAAGTATAGTTTTCAATGATATGTAGGAAATACAAATGTAGTATGAAATGACAAAAGCAAATGTCTGGATTTGTATCTTGCTTACATGTCCTATAAGACTATGATGGTGATCTGGATGATGAAATGTTCTGTTCTTTCTTCCGCTGACTATTTCTAGTAGAAGAACACCAAGACTGAAGACATCTGATTTCACTGAAAATTTCCCATCAACTGCGTATTCTGGAGACATATAGCCACTGCACAAAGACATATATAATGCTTAATATGGGTTAAATGATTTTATGGAAGTTGTAAAGATTTGACACATGCCTAACTCAACCCCAAAAGCTAGCTCATAAGGGGAAGATTGTCCAATTTCATATAAGCAAACCACCAACATGGACCAGGAGCCCCAACCGGGATTTACCTGCCTCTGATACCATTTAAGAATATGACACTTGAGTCTAACTCAACTCAAATCTAGTTTATGAGGGAGAATTGCCCAAGTCCATATAAACCAGTCAATTTCCCCAACCAATGTGGAACTCTAACAGAGGAAAAGATGAAAGCATCAATGAGTTATCTAATTGAACTTACTATGTCCCTATTACTCGCTTTGTTCTTGCTTCGTTTTGGTCACCACCAATAATCCTAGCCAGTCCAAAGTCAGAAATTTTGGGATTCAATTCACTGTCCAGTAAAATGTTGCTGGTCTTTAGATCTCTGTGTATGATCCTTAATCTGGAGTCCTGGTGAAGATAAAGAATTCCCCTTGATATTCCCATTGCAATACGAAAACGATTTTCCCAGGGAAGTTGTTTCTTCCTGCATTCATCTGCAGAAACATCAGTTCATTTTGCATTAGCAGAACAATGCTGATATGATTAGATGAATCTTTTGATGAAATGAGTCAAGAGAATCGAACCAAAGATGAAGAAGTCCAAGCTATTGTTTGGCATATATTCATAAATTAGCATCCTTTCTTCCCCTTCAAGACAACAGCCTAGAAGCCTAACTAGATTTCTATGCTGAAGTTTGGAAATCAGAACAACTTCATTCTTCAACTCTTCAAAACCTTGTCCGGAATGTTTGGAGAGCTTCTTTACTGCTATTTCTGGTCCTGTTGATAGTTTTCCCTGTCACACAATCCACGCGAAGTCTAAGCCACAAGAGAATCATTCATATATTTGACTAAGATACAGAGAATATAATTCTAGTTACCCGATAAACAGATCCAAAACCACCCTCTCCGATGATATTATCAGATGAGAAATTATTAGTTGCAGCAGAAACAGTCATCACATCAAACAAAGGTAATTCCATATCTTCCTTTCCTTCTCCTTCTCCTACTCCTGTAAAATTGAACTTCTTTTTGTAAAGATATTGAGGTGAATGAAATAACTATACTTTCAACGCGACGGACAAATTTTCTAACCTCTTTCCCCTTTCTTTCTCTGCATAGCAAACCAAAATAGAAAACCAACAAGGATGATTGCTGAAACTGTTAATATAATTGCAATGACTGACATTCTTGTGTTTCCCATATAGTCTGAACCTGTGAAAAGTTCATTATGACTTGTGAAAACCTTCCGGTATGATTCTTATTTTTGAAATGGGGGTGGGGGTAGGGGAAGGCTAAATGGGAAATGGGAAAGGGGATTACAAGGTTGGGAACTGAACCCTCATCAACAAGGTGAAAGTTCAGATAGTCAATCAATTGAGTTACTAAGATTCCCTGTGGTATGATTCATCTTAGCATAAGGAGACTTACCTAATTCTGATGCAGCCATCCTTACATAGAGATCTTGATCAAGTTCAGCATATTCCCTGATATCAACGAGTTCATTAAACCACAGTAAGCATCCACTCCCGCCATTTTTAACATCAAGATTGGAATATGCTGTACACGAACAGTTTTTCAGACAGAGTCTTTGGCATTCCTCGAGGCCAATGCTTTTGTCGAACCAGGAATGGCGTGTATCTGGCAATTTCACACTAGAATACTTCAGAAACCTGTCATTTGTCCCACATGTCAACGGAGTTCTTCGTACACACCCACTAGACCAATCTGCTGCATCCCATTCTTGTTGATTTTTAGGCTGAAATCCTCTCAAACAATCACATGGAGGTGAGTCATTGATGTTGCACCGCGCAAATTGACCACACAAGGCATAACGATCACAATTATCCATCTGTCCAGTGGAGTAAAGAAACCAGTTCTGGTTCCGTTCGATCCACAAGAGTCGTTGAAGCAGGCCTGCTGGATTCAAGACCAACCTGGTAGGAAGAGAAGTATTGATAAGCTCATATTTATAGTAGATCTCCTTGTCATTGTTCACAAACTCAAATGTATAATAAGGATTTGGTTTCAAATTTGGTCCTCCAACAAATAAATGTCCATTCCATATTCCTGAGCTAAACTGTATTGCAGGACCTTCCCACACAAAGAATTGAGGATAACCACTGGTGTCGAGGCGATCCAAATATTCTCCTGGAGAAGGATCATCACTGCTCTTCCACGACGACATGGTCCAATACTTGCCCGTGACCAAGTTAAGGCCTAATTTCATGCCAGGTAACAAAGTACTGTCTGGATAATCAAAACTCTGCCAAGCATAGTCTTTTAGATTTACCAAACTGTCATCTTTTAAGACAAGATTTCCAGTGTCCAAAAGCTGAGCCACTGGATTCATCAAACGTTTCGATGAATTTGATGACCAAATCACATCTTGGTTTCCATTGAGTAGTACAATCCCTTTGCTACTGACTGTTAATATGCCAGAAGTGTCATTCAGTGGGTTCACTCTATTGGCAACCCACACTACTTCTCTGCCTTTAGGTAAATTGTTGTACCATATACCGATATACCGATTCTTGGAATTTCCAGGGCTGAAAAATCCAAGCTCAAAGTTTCCACCAGCTGAAACTATGGTATGTCCATCTTTGATGGGGCTATCGTTCGATATAGTGTCTAAAGCAGTGGAAAATATGAATAGAAATGACACTATATTAGAGGAACAGAAATAGAAAAAGATAAAGCGTTTCATGGAAATTGTTTAGTCCTTTTGGAATATTTGGGAAAATGTGAAAAATCAAACCAAAAGAACATTTCTGTTATAAGATGACATTTCTCTCTAAACAACAAATATTTGACTTGTTGTTTTCGTCTCTTTTCGAGTAGTTAACCTCAGAAATCAAATAGATACTTTGAATTTTGTATTAGAAACAGATTTTGAATACTTCAATCTTATTCAATTGACTAGATGGGGCTACCTATGCTACAGGACTCTGGCAGGTTCCAACAGATTGGCAATTGTAGGCTCCAAAATTAAACATAAGAATCCAAAAAAGTGTGCATTTTTTTTGGATTAATTCATTTGTTTGAGGATATATTAGTGATGTCACACACAACTACTTTCATTTGATTAAGGCATCCTACTCGAGTCATTCATTACTTTACTTACTGTTATAAGTGGATGACTACAATAGATATGTATGGTAAAAAAGGGCAATACATGTTATAGGAGTTACGTACACGTCACGTGTCTGATTGATAAAGTGGAAAAAGATAGAAAGGCAGATTCATTATTTACCGAGTTTTAGATCACGCACCACTTGCCCTCCTGTATAAAGAAGCAATTTGTCTCATCTGCATCATTCATTTGCAGTGAAAATTGACCTGGTCTTTGGTAGTTGAGTAATTAACGATTAATTATTAAAAATGGATGTATTTTCTGTACACTACCCTAAAATAAAGGGGATTCACTCTCTATATCTGGGCAGAACTAGAAGGGTAATTAAAAAACTAAAGCTGTTGGTACTCATTATGTTGGCTGCCTGCAGAATTGAATTGTTTTCTTGTTGAAAGTTTTCAAAATAATTATGTTTCTCCTGAAGTTGTGTCACTTTCATCCCTTTAATGTTTGATACCCAATTTATGTGACACATTTCGAATTTCGAAATTCAAATAAGTCTATCTTTGACCATAATTTTTTCATATATCTTTTAATTATTTTGAATTATCAATTATTGAGACTTATAGTACTTTTTATGTAGTTTACGAATATATAAATTTCATTTTAAAAAATTTGAAGATTCCATGAGCAAGTTCTCGGTCAAACTTAAACTGTTTGACTCTCGAAAAGCAAAATGTGTCACATAAATTGGGACAGAGAGAGTATTTCATTTAGAAATTTATCACAAAAAACTGCAGTCTCATTAACATTCTATATTCTATAAGAAATCGACAAGGGAACAAGAACTACATAAATTATGGCATAATACAGTGTTTTTATGCCCTCCAAAATGGTGGTGTACAAATAGACTCTTAAACTTGTATAAGTAGATTCATACATCCTATCTGACACTCTATGCGCCAATTCGCGTCCTTCATAATTTAGGGCACGTGTTTAGTTGTTCAACTTTATACAAGTTTAAGTGTACTTGTGCACACTCAAAGTTGGAGGACATAGATGCTGGTTGAGGCCAAATTTAATGGTACATTTATCTATTATACCTAAATTATGTCTTGGTTAGGAAGAAAAAAAGATAATATCTTTAAATAAAAATTTGCATGATAAAGTTAAAGCAAGACAAACAAGTGTCGTAGAATCTATTACTCCATTTATCCGATAATAGGTGTCCACTATTGACTGTCACACCCCTTAGAAATAATACAATATTATTCTTTGACTTTATTAAATTTAATACTTTGAAAAATGTATTAGATGATAAATAATATTTAATAACAAGAGTAAAATAGACACAAAAGGTAAAGTAATCTTGATTTTCTAAATTGAACAAATATTATTAGACAACTATTTTTAATATAGTGGACAACTATTATTGAACGGAGGGAGCATAAAAAGTCAAAAGCCTTAAAGTGTTAAATGCTTTTCGTGTCATTTATTACAAGTTGCATGGTCCATTATTATAAATTGACCTCAAATGGCCAAACATGGTATCTAAGGTCCACAAAAAATATTTATATGTATTTAATATTACATCAAATCAATAGATAAGATTCATTAATATAACAAGCCAACAAATACTTGATATTTATTGAATTAGTTGAATTTGGTGTAAACATCCAATTATGACCGATGGCAGCACGTTGCAAGCGTAGCCACAGGCAGGGGCGGAGCCAACATGTAGGGGTTCATCCGAATCCTCTTCGGCGGAAAAAATTACTATTCATACATGGTTAAAATTATTTTTTATGTATATATACAATAAATGTCGAACCCCCTTCAATTAGTTAGTATGTTTACTTCTTCAGATTTTGAACCCCCTTCTTAAAAATCCTAGCTCCGCCACTGACCACAGGTACTGCTACAAAGTGTGTTGCAAACAAGTGAACTAATTGTTCACTACCTGGGATCTAATATTGTGATTGGGGTGTCACTCACTGTAACATTTGCATTTTGGTTTGAAGAGAATTCCTCTTCATTCGAATTTCTTTCTATGTAAAAACCTGGTTGTTTAGCCTGTGGCAATACACCTTCATTGTTTAGCATGACAACAACAGACGACATACTTGGACGATCTTCAGGACATTGTTGGACACATAATAGACCAACACAGATTGATCGTACCACCTCAGACCTTGAACAAGAATCACTTAGGCGTTCATCAAGTAGTTCCATCGACCTACCTTCTTTATAGATTTTCCATGCCTGTACATTTTACAAGCTTATTAGTATGGCAAGCTAGCGTAGTTTTGTAACATATTTGTTACTAGTAGATAAATATGTTCGGATAGATATAGTACAAAAAATGAAAATTGTTACATGTCCGAGTAGGTTAAGGTAATGATCTGGATGAGAGAATCGTCTATTGCTTTTCCCACTCACAATTTCAAGTACTAAGATACCAAAACTAAATACATCCGATTTTACTGAGTATAGCCCATGCAATGCATATTCTGGTGAGAGGTACCCGCTGCAAATAAAACGTACACAAAAATAGAATTTGAGTTACTAATGCTGGAAAACATAACTTAACTATCTCAAGATTCTTTCTTAGGTAGGAAAAATGCTACCAAGTATAGGAGGTTCTTAGTTCTTACTATGTTCCAATAACTCGGTTTGTCTGGGCTCCAATGTCATCCTCTTCACATATTTTTGCCAAGCCGAAGTCTGATATCTTTGGGTTCATGTCCTTGTCTAGCAGAATGTTGTTAGCTTTCAGGTCTCTGTGAATTATTCTCAATTGTGAATCTTGATGCAGATACATAACTCCCCGAGCTATACTGTTGATAATGTGAAATCGCTTAGGCCAGTCTAGTACCTTGCTTTGTGTGTCATCTGCCAAAATTTTGTTAGCTCATTAACAGACTATTTGGAATAAGATTACTGAAGTACTACTATAGACATCAGTTCACCGTGACACAATTAGTATATAATTTGCACATTATTGGATGGAGAGTAGTACCAAATATGAATGAATCAAGACTCCCGTTATGCAAGTACTCATAGATCAATATTTTTTCTTCATCTTCAATGCAGCAGCCAAGAATCTTCACCAGATTCCTATGCTGAAGTTTAGCAATATATATAACTTCATTCTTGAACTCATTTTCTCCTTGTGTGGAAGTTCTAGACAACCGCTTGACAGCTATTTCCTGTCCTTCAAGTATGCCCTAAACATCACAATCTCCACATGTTAACATTTTCTTTACCTATCTTGATGAGAAAGTACACAAATCTTAAGATGAAGCTTTACTCTGAAGGACCGGAAAGTTTTTTGTCTGTACTATGCATGATTATCTTTTGGGAATAAATCGGTGTATTTCTTAAACAGGCATAAAGTGTTGATACCTTGTAAACAGGTCCAAAGCCCCCTTCTCCAATCTTTCTGTCTATTGAAAAGTTATTGGTTGCCTTTGTTATGGTTGATAAATCAAACAATGGTATTTCAAATTCTTCAGCGCAATTGCCACGGTTAAAATCCATCTTATAGTTGCCACTTTGTTCTGACTTTCCTGTCAACAGCAAATAAAGTGAATTCATTTAAATTGCGAATACTAGATATGGAAGTTGATTAGATGTAAGGAAAAAAAGGGACTTATCCAGCTTACCTTTCGTTTTGAGCTCTAAATCCTTTTTCCTTATTCTATGGTAGATCAACAGGCTAAGGATTACAAAAATTACACCAACTGATGATGCCAGAATACAGGTAGGTGATTTTCCTAACTTTCCATTCGATTTCTCCAGCTTATCATCTGCAAGTAGCCCTTCCAACAAAGATAAATGTAGTACTAAGTTTCACTATCGATATCTCTGTGGGAAGTTGATTATGCTACTGATTATGTTATGTAGGTTCTGCAAACACTAAAGAGCAACAAGCAAACCTGATTCAGAAGCAGCTACTTTTACGTAGATATCAAGTCCTCCTTTGGGTACCTGCCGAATGTCAAGCAGATCCTTGAACCACAATAAGCATCCACTTCCTCCATCGTGTATGTCAGCATTTGAGTAAGCCATACAAGAGCAATTTTTAGAGCAGATGTTCTTGCATTCTTCTAGTGTCATAGTCACATTGGACCAGCAATTCCGTGTATCTGGAAGTTTAATTTGCGAATACTTCAAAAATACGTCTCCTTGAAGGCAATTTAGTTCAGTTCTCCGAACACAACCACCTGACCAGTCTGCCTTGTTCCAATCTTTGCTATTGTTTGGCACAAATTTGTCCAAACATCCACAAAGTACTGGAAAATCATTGTTGTTGCAGCTACCATATGAGCCACATAACTTATACGTATCACAGTTATCTCCAGGTATTATGAGGTAAGGAACCCAACCCTGTTCTCCATCACCCCAAGTCAAAAGTTGTGCTACACCATTTTGGTTTAGTATGAATGTCGCGATAACTGAAGATGTGAGGTTATATCCAAAGTACACCTCTGTCTTACTTGAGAATATTCCATATCTATAGAAAGTACTGTCTCTTGAGTTTCTTGCCCCACCAAAACGAAGACCGTTCCACACTCCAGAGCGATATATCACATTTGATCCCTTCTTCAGGATGTTCTGATATGAATAATCACCAGGAGTTGGATCATCTTCATTCTTCCAAGACGATAAATACACCTCTCGTTCTGTTACAAAGTTCCAACCGAGCTTCATGCCTGGTAATAGTGTATTAGTTGGGTGATCAAAACTCTGCCACAGGAAATTTCCATCACTAACACCATGACCAGATTGTTTCACAACAAGATTCCCGGAATCCAACAACTGTGCAACCGGATTCTGCACAGATCTCGATGTATTAGTTGACCATACAACATTATTAGTGTCATTGAGAAGGACAAGAATTCCTGGCTCAATGACCTTCAACATACCATTTCTACTCCTCAAAGGAGCTTCTCTATTGGCAACCCACACCACGGTCCTAACAGATATGTTCTTGTACCACATACCCACGTAGCGATTTTTGGATTTACCTGGACTGAAAAATCCCATTTCGAACGTTCCACCACGTGAAACAATAAAATCGTCGTCGCCATCTTTGAGAAAATGTGTCGTAGTTATTGTATCTAAAGCACCAAAATATTGGTGCATTGAAGACAAGAACATGAACATGAACATGAATATGCAAGTAATATTCATGTTTGTGAATTATTTGATTGTGTTTTACTAAGCTTAAGTAATATATAGTAGCATGGTTATGAGTTGTGGTGGGACATTACTGATGAAAAGCCAAGATTCTTTCTTTAGAATAAGTCAAGCGTGTTCTATCCCGTCTTGAACGATTTCTTCTTTAGCCGTGTGTATCCGTGGCCCTTTGTTTACGAAGGACAGTATCTTTGACACGCCTTGAGTTTTAAAGATTTTTCACAAATTTTGTTATCAATATCTAAATAAAAGCTATTGAGTGCTCACGACATAATTAATACTCTACCTCTACCCTCTACAATGGATTTTTTTTTGGCATAATATATAAATGTGCCATTTAACTTGTCTCATATGACATATATGTCATCCAATTTTGGATGTGCACAAGTAGATACTTAAATTTGTATAGAATTGAACAAGTATACACAGGGCGTCCTTCTTGGAGTTCTACGTGGCAATTCATGCCCTATACGACATCTTATGTGGCGTCATATGTGTACTATGCCACATATGACGTGTGCATTTATTTGTTCAATTTTATACAAATTTAAATATCTACTTGAGCACACCCAAAGTTAAAGGACATAAATGCAAGCTACTATCAAATTAAAAGACATATTTATGTATTATGTATTTTTTTCAATGTTAGCAAGCCATGTCATCAATTATATTGTATTAAAATCAGGTTGAGTGGAGAACCGTTAATAGTAAGGGTAGATGTGGTCCCAAATTTAGGCTTGGAAATAAAAATGTATCTGGAATAGTTTAAAAATATTTGAAATACTTTATTACTAAATTTTATGTAAGTGACTAACAAAATCAATTCTCTCGAGGAATTAAGACCAAACTAAAAAAATGTGTTGCATAATATTTTCATCAAGACAAAAAAATAAAACTGGTTGTTAAACTCATTTCTTCGTTAAACCTTTATTCACGTCTATTGTGCAGTCTGTCATTTGGTGAAAATGAATTGTCAAATGAGACATGGCAAGGTTAGAAGTTGACGTTTACTAAAATGTTAGGACCCAAATATCTCAAATTTATTCTAGATTAAATTTCAAAAGCTTTTCTTTATTTTTGAAATTCAGTATCTAATCAAACATTATCACATAAATTGAGACGAAAAGAGTAAGTTCTTTCTTAGTCTTATACTCCCTCTGTTCCATTTTACTTGTGGTACTTCCCCAAAATAATTGTTAATTAAAAAAATTAAAATACAGTTAGTTATTTGTTTTTCACCTTAAATCAAAATTAGACAAACAAATTGAAACAGAGTATTTCCATTCTTTGGCAGCAAATCTGCCACGCCATTTTGCTGTCTAAACGGATTGACCAGCAAAAAATGAAGTCTTGGTCATCTCTGAGACAATCTTACTGAAAAGAATACCACAAGAGATGGAATATGATAAATTCTTTTTAACAATTTTGAAGAAGAATGCAATGCAACAAAAGGTAAATATAACTATCATGGATATAACAATATTTCAATTTATTCTACTTCTCTTGTATTTTGTGTTTCTTCAAAATGTTAGTGGTCAAGGAGATACCATAACTACAACTCAATTCATTAAACATGGTGATACTATTGTTTCGTCTCGTGGAACGTTCGAGTTAGGATTCTTCAGTCCTGGAGATACTTCTACAAATCACTATGTTGGAATATGGTACAAGAAAACCTCTGCTACTACTCCTGTTTGGGTTGCCAATAGACTAGCTCCTGTTGCTAATAAATATGGGGTGTTGAAAGTTATTCAGCCAGGTCTGATTGTACTTCTGAATGATACTAATGCAACTGTTTGGTCGACAAATTCATCGAAATCTGTGCAGAATCCTGTTGCTCAGTTGTTGGACACAGGGAATTTTGTGGTGAGGGATGCTAATGATCCGAATCCAGAGAATTTCCTCTGGCAAAGTTTTGATTATCCTAGTAATACGTTGTTGGAAGGTATGAAACTTGGGACGGACTTGGTGACTGGATTAGAAAGGTATCTTACTTCTTGGAGAAGTAGTGATGATCCTGCTCCGGGGGATTATACTTATCATTGTGATCCTACGGGTTATCCACAAAACCTTATGCGAAAAGGGGCTAATGTGACATTTAGAGCAGGGCCGTGGAATGGTATCAGGTGGAGTGGTGCACCAAATCTGGTGAACAACTCTATCATTTCTTTCGGTGTGGTTATGAATAGTAGGGAAATTTACTACAAGTATGAGATGGTGAACAAATCCGTTATTTCAACATTTGTTTTAGAGCCTTATGGGAAAGCTATGCGTATCATTTGGATTGGAAAAGTTCAGGGATGGGTAAATTACCACTCTGCGGTTGTGGATGACTGTGACACCTACAAATTATGTGGTGCATATGGGACTTGCAACATTTTGAGTGATCCTTTTTGTCAATGTTTAGATAAATTCAAGCCAAAACATCCTGATGATTGGGAAAGATCTGACTGGTCTAGTGGTTGTGTCCGGAAGATCCCACTGAATTGCACAGGAGATGGATTTATTAAGTATTCTGGTGTTAAACTGCCTGATACGCGAAATTCTTGGTTTAATGAGACAATGACACTAGATGAATGCAGGGCAGTTTGCTTGAGAAATTGTTCGTGCACGGGTTATACTAATCTGGACATACGCAATGGAGGAAGCGGGTGCTTGCTATGGATTTGGGAGCTGGTTGACATGAGACAGCTACCTGCATCAGGACAGAATATCTACATTAGGATGTCTGCTTCAGACATAGGTAATTAATAATTAATATGTGAGTTCATAAATCATAACCATGTCAATTGTACTTCAATGCCAGAAAGTCAACTCATATGAGGGACAAAGGTAATCCAAGTCCACATTATGGGAATAAGACTTCAAGGACCGTCCTGTTTTCCTCGACATAAATACAACAAATATAAAAAGAGAAAAAACTTCTAGCATTACTAGAAACAACTATTGATAATATTTCGATGGGAAATGTTGCAGGTTCTGCTGGATCAAAAGGAAAGATAGCTGTCATACTTGCAATAGCTTTGCCACTATTGGTTGCATTGATTCTGCTCGGTTTAGGTGTAGGCCTGATTCTTTGTAAACGAAAAAGGAGAAAGGATCCAGTGGTTACAACAACAGGTAAGTGGAAGTACCAATTCTATCTATTGTAAAACTGGAAGCACCTAGTGGTCATTAGATCTGTATACCACAAGTATTTCTTTTCGAGCTCCTTATTTGAGCAAGGTCTACTTGTATGTTCAAATTGCAGGGAGATTAGGTGGTCACAGCAACAAGAATGATAACAGTAATCAAATTCACCAGGAAAATTTTGAGCTTCCACTTTTTGACTTATTAACGTTAACCAATGCTACCAACAATTTTTCATTTGCAAACAAGATTGGAGAGGGTGGCTTTGGACAAGTTTACAAGGTAGAAACATTCCTCAGACCCCAAGTAATGATACTCGAGACTTAATTTCTTTGCTTTTCTTGAAAGGAATATTAACTCTTGGAGTCCGTACATACAGCAGCGTTTGCTAGTATGATGAGCGGAATGAGTGTTAAGTTGAGAGTCTTGTTTCAAGACCGATAATGTTTTATAAAATAAAGGTTTCAAATTCAAAGAAAAGGAATATCAGCTGGAAAGATTACCAACCATGGGAGAAGCTGTGGAATAAAATGTGCAAGTAGATGCTGCCTGAACAAGAAACTTGATTGCAATAGTAAGGAAAAAATGACGATTCACTCCATCGAATTTCTAACAGGAGTGCTATTTTTACAGGGTGTATTAGAAGGTGGACAAGAAGTAGCAGTGAAGCGGCTTTCAGAAACATCAGAGCAAGGACTTCACGAGTTCAAGAATGAAGTTAAGTGCATCGCAAAACTTCAGCATCGGAATCTTGTAAAGCTTCTAGGATGCTGCATTCAAGGAGAAGAGAAGATGTTGGTGTATGAGTACTTGCCAAACAAAAGCCTGGAATTATATATATTTGGTTAGTCTTTCACATCTACTGAACGGCCATTTCTTTCAATGCAATCAATTGTGATTTCACGAAGGTTGGTTTCGTGTTATAGAAACCTTTAGTAATATGTTGAAAACATTTGACAGATGAAGAAAGGAGTGCATTACTTGATTGGCCTAAGCGCTTCAATATTATCAATGGAATTGCTCGAGGACTGATGTATCTTCATCAAGATTCTAGGCTCAGAATCATCCACAGAGACTTGAAAGCTAGCAATGTCTTACTTGATATTGAAATGAATCCAAAAATATCAGATTTTGGAATGGCTAGAAGTTTCAGAGGAGATGAGACAGGAGCCAATACACGCCGTGTTGTTGGAACATAGTAAGATTTAATATTTGATTATATATGTAGTCATGAACACATGCTGCATTATATAATCCTGTAGTTTCTTTATTGCAGTGGTTACATGTCCCCGGAATATGCAGTCGAGGGGATATTCTCAGTGAAATCAGATGTCTTTAGCTTTGGGGTATTAGTACTAGAGATTGTGAGTGGAAAGAAGAACCGACGATTTGTTCATCCAGACCACCACCTCAACCTTCTTGGACATGTAAGTACAGTAACTCCTAACGGTAAAAAGACTCAGAGAAAGTGTTTGTTAATGCATTTAAGTTTTATGTGCCGACAGTAAATTACATGTAAATCTCTATTATAAGAGCTTGTTAACTAACCTACTATCACAAGTTAAACTACAATGCTAGAGTAAAAAGTCATTGTACTGTTAGTTTGTATAAGTTAAATCCTTTGTTGATGGAGGGATCGTTTTATGCAGGCATGGATGCTTCATAATGAAGAACGGACGTTGGAACTAGTAGATCCATATCTCGTAAACTCATACTATATATCAGAAATACTAAGATCAGTCCATGTGGGATTGTTATGTGTTCAACAGAATCCAGAGGACAGGCCAAGCATGTCAACTGTGATTATGATGCTGAGCAATGAAGGCATTTTGCCATTGCCTAAACATCCCGGTTTCTTCACTGAAAGGAAAGTTGAAGATGTTGATCAATTGTCTTGGAGTACACAAACACCAAGTTCTATAAACGAAGTTACCATCACGCTGTTGAATGCTCGATAGAAGCATGTCCATGTCCATAGTCAGTGGCAAAGCCAGGATTTTCACTAAGGGTTTCAAAATATGAAAGAAGTAAACACACAAAGTCAAGACGATGCAACAACTATAATATATACATAAACAATTAATTGTAGACCTTTATATATACAGTGTAATTTTTTGGCGAAAGGGTTCGGATGAACCCCTTGCATCAACTTGGCTCCATCCTTGTCGATTGTGAGTGTCATTCATTTCTCAGAATTGTATTAAAATCCTCCCTTTTTTTCTTTAAGAAACTAGAAAGCAAAATCTGCAGGAATTGTATTGAAGTATGTCTAAATTTTAAGGCCTTGAATTCAATTTCAGAATAGATTCAGCTAGCATTTAGCAACAGCTTACTCTTTACATTCATTATATAAATCTCTTTCAAGTTCTCTAAATCATGCATATATGAGTAGAAATTACTAATGAAATTGGTAAATTGATAAGAAATATAAATTTATCCACCCTACGCACACTGTTGTTACCTTCCACCAACACAGGTACCCTTGGGTGCTTTGGACTATCTCTTCTTCATGAAGAAGATCTTCCATAGTTGATACACCAAAAAAGCAGAATCATGAACAATTTTTTTTCACCACGTTGCTTCAAAGACTTAAAGAAAAAGATTATTACAACTGCAAGACTGTAACGAACAGTAAAACAATATCTTCTATCGGGCAGTTAGTATTGTGATAGGGGTCTCAGTCACTGTACTCTCTGCATATTGGCTAGAAGAAAATGCACCACTACTAGGTGCATTTCCTTCTATGTAAAAACCTGGCTGTTTAGCCAACGGCAACACACCTTCATTGTTTAACATCAGAACCGCAGAAGACATATTTGGACGATCTTCAGGACATTGCTGGACACATAATAGACCAACACCGATTGATCGTACCACTTCATATGTTGAACAAGAATCACCTAGACATTCATCAAGTAGTTCTGTTGACCTGCCTTCTTTATAGAGATTCCATGCCTGTAGATTTTACAAGCTTATATATTAGCACGAGTAGTTTTGCAAGATATCTGTTACTAGTTGATAAAACGAAGGATAAATAAAATAAAATCTTACATGGCCAAGTAGATTAACGTTATAGTCTGGATGACAGGATTTTCTGTTGCATTTTCCACTTACAATTTCCAATACTAAAATACCAAAGCTAAATACATCTGATTTTACTGAGTATTTCCCGTACAAAGCATATTCCGGTGAGAGGTACCCACTGCATAAAAATGTAGTGCAAACAATAGAATTACTAATGCTGGAAAACATATCCACCAAACAATTACTATCCAACAGAAGGTACTTACTGTGTCCCAACAACTCGGTTTGTCATGGCTCCAACATCATCCTCTTCACATATTTTTGCCAAGCCGAAGTCTGATATCTTTGGATTCATGTCCTTGTCTAGCAGAATGTTGTTAGCTTTCAGGTCCCGGTGAATTATTCTCAATTGTGAATCTTGATGCAGATACATAAGTCCCCGAGCTATACCATTGATAATGTGAAATCGTTTAGGCCAGTCTAGTACCTTCGTTTGTGTCTCATCTGTCAAATGTTTTTTGTCATCAACACCCTAATTAGATGTACTACTTAAACGGTAGTACTATAGGCATCAGTTCACTGAAATGAAGTTTTTATTATAGAAAATGCACTTAGTAGACTGGAGAATAATACCAAATATAAATGAATCGAGACTCCCATTTGGCAAGTACTCGTACATCAACATTTTTTCTTCCCCTTCAATACAACAGCCAAGAATCTTCACCAGATTTCTGTGCTGAAGTTTGGCAATATATACAACTTCATTCATAAACTCATTTTCTCCTTGTGTAGATGTTCTCGACAGACGCTTGACAGCTATTTCATGTCCTTCAAGTATGCCCTAAACATCACAATCTCCACACGTTAATAGTTTCACTACCTAAATTGATGTAAGAAAGAATCAGTTATGCCAGATATATATACCTTGTAAACAGGTCCAAAGCCCCCCTCTCCAATCTTTCTGTCGATTGAAAAGTTATTAGTAGCCTTCATTATGGTAGATAAGTCAAACAGCGGTATCTCCAATTCTTCAGCACAACTACCACTGTAATCCATCTTGGAGCTGCCATTTAATCCCGAACTACCTGCCAAAAGCAGATGAAGTGAATGTTGTTAAGGTGTGAATACCAGACAAATCTGATAGTTCTTCTAACTTTTATTTAGGCATAATACATAAATATGCCCTTTAACTTGGTCTCGAATCCATGCCCTTCAACGTAGGCTACCAAGTAGGATGTGTGTGTCTAGCTACTTTTTCAACTATATACAAGTTTAAGTGTCTGCATATGCATGACCAAAGTTGGAGGGCATAGATGAAGCCAAGCTAAAAGGACACGTTTAAGTATTATGCCTCTTATTTGAATTTGTATTCCTCTACTTTGCTAAGATGTCAGGACAAAAAGGGATTTATCAAGCTGACCTTTCTTTTTGAGTACTAAAGTCTTCTTTCTTCTATGATAGATCAGCATGCTAAGAATTACCAGAACCGCACCAACTGCAAATGGCAGAATCCAGTGAAGTACTAATTTTTGCTTCGTTCCATTCGATTTCTCCAGACTATCTGCAAGTATCCCTTTCTCTGTAATAGCTGCTTGTGTTTCTATTAAAACATGTTAGATAGCAAAAAGACATACGTGCTTCAGAAGCAGCCATTCTAATGTAGATATCTTGCCCTCCGTTGGATTCGTGCTGAATGTCAAGCAGATCCTCTAACCACAATATGCATCCACTTCCTCCATTGCGTATATCAGCATTTGAGTAAGCCATACAAGAGCAATTTTTCGAGCAGAAATCCTTGCATTCTTCTAGTGTCATAGTCACATTGGACCAGGAATTCCGTGTGTCTGGCAATTTGATATGTGAATACTTCAAAAATACGTCTCCTTTAAGGCAATTTAGTTCAGTTCTCCGAACACAGCCACCTGACCAATCTGTCTTCTTCCAAGCTTCAGTATTGTTGGGCACGAATTTGTCTAAGCATCCACATACTGGAAAATCTTGACTGTTGCAGCTACCATATGCACCACACAACTTATACGTATCACAGTTATCTGCGGGTATTAAGAGGAAAGGGACCCAACCTTGTTTTCCGTCACCCCAAGTCCAAAGTTGTAACACACCATTCTGACTTAATATCAACCTCACGATAACTGAAGACGTGAGCTTATATCCAAAGTACAACTCTGTCTTACTTGTAAATACTCCAATTGTATAGTAAGGACATTCTCTTGAGTTTTGTGATCCACTGAAAGAACAACCATTCCACGGTCCAGAGCGATATACAACATCTGATCCCTTCTTCATGATGTTCTGTGGATAACCAGAAGGATCACAATGATATGTATAATCAGCAGGAGCTGGATCCTCCTCATTCTTCCATGACGACAAGTACACCTCTCGTCCTGTTACAAAGTTCCAACCGAGCTTCATACCTGGTAATAGTGTATTAGTTGGGTGATCAAAACTCTGCCAAAGCAAATTTCCATCACTAACACCATGACCAGATTGTTTCACAACAAGATTCCCGGAATCCAACAACTCTGCAACCGGATTCTGCACAGATCTCGATGTATTAGTTGACCATACAACATTGCTACTGTCATTGAGAAGGACAAGAATTCCTGGCTCAATGACCTTCAACATACCAGTTCTACTTGTCAGAGGAGCTTCTCTATTCGCGACCCACACCACGGTCCTAACAGATATGTTCCTGTACCACATACCTACGTAGCGATTATTGGATTTACCTGGACTGAAGAATCCCATTTCGAAGGTTCCACCACGTGAAACAATAAAATTGTCCTCGTCATCTTTGAGAAAATCTTTCATAGTTATTGTATCTGTAGCGCAAAAACATAGGTAGATGGAAGAAAAGAATACGAGCATGAATGTGCCATAAACAACTTCTGGCACGTTCATGCTTCGACTTCCAATCAAATCACAATCAGAGTCCTATTATATATCATTACTAAGGAAAATAGCAAATCTAACTCTACATCAAAATGATTGTCATTTCCACTAATGTTTGTGTGCGTTATTTGCTTAATTGAGAAGTAGTTTGGTTAATTATGGCTAGTGGGACAATAATATTGAAAAAACTAAATATTTTTCTTAAAAAGCTAAGCATGATCTATACTTTGTAATTTTCTATTGGATATTGTCTTTGTCAGTTAATCACAATGGATCAACTTTATTGGCTGAAACAAAAGGGTGATTTTATTATAATTTGCTCGATAATATTTGTACCCTTTAACAATTTATCTTTTCCCCCACTTGTGAGTCTCCATTTCTTTATTCACGCACGTTTGATATCTTTTTTTAAAAAAAAATGAATTTCTGAGTGTTTCAAATTCATTTTCATTCCCGTCACTTTTGAAAAGTTGCCACATGCATGCATGCAGCAGGTTTTTACGTTTTACCATTGTCTGTTTCTATTTAAGCATCTTAATACTATTATTTTAGGAGTAGTTATTATGCATTATTACAAAATAGTATGTTATTGCACTCGGAAATACGTACTAGCTAGTTTGCGGTGGCAAATTCAAGTTTTAAAGTTGGTGAATTCCTAAAGCAATCTTGAGTTGATAAAGGTTTATTTTTAGATATTTATAAATATTCAATGAACATTTTAATATGTATATATATATATATATAATTTGAGTTTGCTCACACTAGCGCTAACCAAAAAAATCTAGCAAGTTCCCCATTTGTCGATTTCCAATATGTTAACATGACCACAATGTTTAAACCATTTGGTGTGTTATTGATAAGGGATCATAATTTCAAATAAAATATAAGATTAATTTATTTCATCTCCAAGGCTAATATAACACCTCTTCTACCTAAAGGAACCAAAAACACATTATTTTAATTAATCAAAGGTTAAATAGGCTCTTCGTTCACTTTTATTAATCCATTTTAAACTTTGCACACCTTAAAAAAATAATGACTAATGTGAGTATTTATTACAATATCCATATTAATTGAAGGTCTTTAGGTCTTGAGAAATAATTTGGGAATAAGTAACTAATCTTGAGGGTAAAAAATAGAAAAAAAAAACTATTATCTTTAATTGATATGTTAATAAGTAAAAATGAAAATCTATTTTTAAACATAGTGATAAGTAAAATGGAAAGTAAGTTATTTGATTCTTAAGCTGACATGTGTTCCTCCGTTAAAATTAGGAAATTATGTGTACCAAAGTATAACGGTAGAAATATATTTGAATCGAAAGTATAAGAAAGGGTATATTTGAATTATTTTCTATACTACATGCCTACATAGTATATTTGACCCTTTTCCGTTGTATTAAATCACCTGAGGGCCAAAAACAGAATTCACTAATAATTAGGGACCAAAATGCTATTATTATTATTATTATTGTGCGAAAAGTGTGTCCTCTCTCTGTGCTTCGGCTTCCCCTTTCTCTTCTCTCTCTACGTTCAATGTCTGCTTCTCCTCTTTGTTTCTAAATTCCTCTCTGCGTTCCCTCCCGCTCCGATTTCACTCTCTGAGATCTATGGCTAGTTTAATGCAACGTGGAGTTTGGTGAAGCTCTGAATTGAATTCTGGACTGTGATATATACATGACGACAGAGGCTAAATATGGCGAGTTTATGGTTACGGTACTCTTCTCCTTGCTTATTGATGATTTTAGTTCCTGCTTATTCTAATTGTTTTAGTATTATGCTAGAGCTATACTTGTGAAATGGAAAATATCATCTACATTGTTGTCATTTGAGTTTTGACATGCATTAGCTATTCAATTTTTGTTAATTGGTTGGGCTTGTTGCATCAAAGCTTGATTAATTGTGATTCACCCAAATTAATTACGAGGCTAGACGTTTTCCGTAGTTTAGTGATGCTTTTCCGTCATTATATAATGGAAAAGTTGTAGTAAACTGTGCTAATCAGTTTTGTTGGTCAATTAGGGCAAATATAACCCAATTTTAAGACACCATTGACGCCAATAATTAATGAAGAGTATATATAGACCATTTCATATAGTTGAGCAAATTTGACTCTTTGCCCTTTGAGCAATTTGGATGTCAAGTTTGAATTACAATAGAAAATGAACAAAATACTGCAGTTAAAGTAACAACTAAACTGCAAAAAACGATGAGACATCTTTGCCTCGGGATAGATGGTCATATACTGCGAAAATAATGCAACCTTCTGCACCCAAGGGTGAGACCTAGTGGTCAATTTCAACCTCTGAGGTCAATTCTTTATGGAAGAAACATAATATCTAAAATTTATCCAATAAGCACACACATATGACATAACAAAACAGTTTTAGGGACTGGTGTAACGTCATCATATTCTAATTAAATCTTGTGTTCAGGTTTGAGACTAATGATTTGAACTTTATTAATGTGACCTTTTCCTTATTAATCCCACAACATTTTCTAATAAATTAGTTGCAGCCATCAAATTTTGCTTAACGGAAATATTTCACTCGACTTATATAGAAAGTAAACCAAAAAAAATACTCAATCAAACAAAGTGAGACGTAGTATCAGATATACTGCGCAAATCAAAGTAACAGCCAGTCAGCAAGCTTCCTACATATGTTTGACATAGTTGATACACCTAAAAATGCACAATCATGCACAAATTTTTTTCACCACATTACTATAGAGAATTAAGAAAAGATCATTGCAACTGCAAGCTTGTTGCAAACAAGTGAACCAATATCTTCTATCGAGCAGCTAGTATTGTGATGGGGGTGTCACTCACTGTAATCTGTGCAGATTGGCTAGGAGTGAAATCACCACCCGGTGCATTTCCTTCTATGTAAAAACCTGGTTGTTTAGCCAACGGCAGCACACCTTCATTGTTTAACATCAGAACTGCGGAAGACATACTTAGACGATCTTCAGGACATTGTTGGACACATAATAAACCAACACTAATTGATCGTACCACTTCAGATGTTGAACAAGAATCACCTAGGCATTCATCAAGTAGTTCTATTGACCTACCTTGTTTATAAAGTTTCCATGCCTGTAGATATTGCAAGCTTATTAGCAGGGGTCGTTTTACAAGATATTTGTTACTAGTATATAACATACACCAAGGAATAAATAAAACTAAACAATTGCACCCAAGGGTGTGACCTAGTGGTCGATGATCAGTTTCAAATTCCAGCAGAGACAAAAAACACTAGGCAATTTCTTCCCATCAGTCCTAACCTTGTTAGACAGAGTTACCCGGTACCTATTGGTGGTGGGAGTTTGCAGGTATCTCGTGGAATAAGTTGAGGTGTGCGCAAGCTGGCCTCGGCACCACGACAACAACAACATACCTAGTATAGTCCCACTAGTGGAGTTTGGGGAGGGTAGTGTGTATGTAGGCCTTACCACTACCTCGTTGGTAGAGAGACTATTTTTGATAGACCCTCGGCTCAAGTATGTTGGCTCCAACACCTCGGTTATCAAAAAAATAAGAAATAAAACAAGTAAAATCTTACATGCCCGAGTAGATTAAGGTTATGATCTGGATGGGAGAATTTTCTGTTGCTTTTCCCACTGACAATTTCCAATACTAAAATACCAAAGCTAAATACATCTGATTTTACTGAGTATTTTCCGTGCAATGCATATTCCGATGAGAGGTACCCACTGCATTAAAATGTGCGCAACATTATAATTAGTAATGCTGGAAAACATGCCTTAACTAACTGAAGATTCTTCTTAGGTTCATATTATTATCCAGTAAATCTTATCAAAATAATACTATCCAGTGGAAGGTTCTTACTATGTTCCAACTACTCGGTTTGTCATGGCTCCAATGTCATCCTCTTCACATATTTTTGCCAAGCCGAAGTCTGATATCTTTGGATTCATGTCCTTGTCTAGCAGAATGTTGTTAGCTTTCAGGTCTCTGTGAATTATTCTCAATTGAGAATCTTGATGCAGATACATAAGTCCCCGAGCTATACCATTGATAATGTGAAATCGCTTAGGCCAGTCTAATGCCTTGCTTTGTGTGTCATCTGCCAATTTTTTTTTGTTGGGTCATTAACTGACTAATTGGTTATAGGAGAAAGTAGTATTAAATACTCCCACAACAGGTTTGGTCTATCAATATTTTTCCTGCTTTATGGGGCTTTCATAATTGGAACAAAATTACCAAAGTACTACTAGTTACTTTTACTTCAAAATAAAAAAAATTAATGAAGTATTACTATAGGCATCATCACTGAAACACAATTATTTATTTAATTTGCACAATATTGGATGGAGAATAGTACCAAATATAAATGAATCAAGACTCCCGTTCGGCAAGTACTCATAGATCAACATCTTTTCTTCCCCGTCACTGCAGCAACCAAGAATCTTCACCAGATTCCTGTGCTGAAGTCTTGCAACATATAAAACTTCATTCTTGAACTCACCTTCTCCTTGTTTGGAAGTTCTGGACAACCGTTTGACAGCTATTTCCCGTCCTTCAAGTATGCCCTAAACATCACAATTTCTGCATGTTAATATTTTCATTACCTTACTTGATGTAGGAAGTACACAGAGTCAATTGTGTTCCAATTAGAAAGAGACAATCAGTTGTGTTCCACCATATCCTTGTTCTTCCTTAGCTATTGTATATGTCTCCTTCGGTTTCACAAGCCAAAGCTTTATTTCATTATGCATTTCATCATACAACTTCTATACTGAATCTAAAGATGAAACTTTACTCTATAGGATCAGGAAGTTTTTGCCTGTGCACCAGTTATACCTTGTAAACCGGTCCAAAGCCCCCCTCTCCAATCTTTCTGTCTATTGAAAAGTTATTGGTAGCCTTCATTATGGTAGATAAGTCAAACATTGGTATCTCAAATTCTTCCTCACAATTACCACTATGATCCATCTTGTAGTTGCCATTGCGTCCCGACCTACCTGCCCGCAAACGAAGTGAAATTTGTTTAAGCTGTGATCCAGACCAAATATTAAAGTTCTTCACTTTTCTTTGAATTATGTTCCTTGATTTTGCTAAGATGTCAAGACAAAATGAGATTTATCCTATTTTACCTTTCCTTTTGAGCTGTAAAGCCTTCTTCCTTCTTCTATGGAAGATCAACATGCTAAGAATTACCAGAATCAGACCAACTGATAATGGCAGAATCAAGAAAAGTACTTTTCTTTTCTTTCCATCTGATTTCTCCAGACTATCTGCAAGTATCCATTCCGCAAAAATAATCAATTTCACTTTCTGTCCAATCCACGGGGGAGATAATTTTTATATTGAATTAAAAAAGATTCTGTAAGCCTTTGGAGTACTGCAGATCATTTTGAATTTGTTGATATTGAGTTCTAAGGGTTCTAGAATTCAATATAATGCAAGTCATTTTTAATTTTTGAATGTTACTATAAATATCTTTAATTTTGAGAAGATTTTTTCTTTGATTCAAGCCACATGCATCTCAACTTCTTGTTCTACAGAAAACTAAATACCTATCAATTGGTTCCAAAGAAGTGACTGCAACCATACATTCTTTTACTATTTTCAGGTAATCCATCAAAAATCTTTAAGTGACAACAAAACCTACCTGGTTCAGAAGCAGCCATTCTTATGTAGATATCTTGACCTTCATCGGAAACCACCTTAATGTCAAGCAGATCCTCGAACCACAACAAGCATCCACTTCCTCCATTGCGTATGTCAGGATTTGCGTAAGCCATACAAGAGCAATTTTTAGAGCAGGTATTCTTGCATTCTTCAAGTGTCATAGTCACATCGGACCAGGAATTCCGTGTGTCTGGCAATTTGATATGCGAATACTTCAAAAATTTATGTCCTTGAAGGCAATTTAGTTCTGTTTTCCGAACACAGCCACCTGACCAGTTTCTCTTCTTCCAAGCTTCACTATTGTTGGGCACAAATCTGTCTAAGCATCTACATACAGTAAAATCTTGACTGTTGCAAGTCCCGTATGCGCCACACAGTTTGTAAGCATCACAGTTATCTGCGGGTATTGAGAGTTGAGGGATCCAATCAGATACATGATCACCCCAAGTCCAAAGTTTTAGGGCACCATTCTGATTTAGTATCAACCTTGTGATAACTGAAGATATGAGCTTATATCCAAAATAAACCTGTGTCTTACTTGAGAATATCTCATATTTGTATAAATGACTGCCTCTTGGGTTTCTTGTTCCACTAAAATGAAGACCATTCCACGGTCCTGATCGATAGACAACATTTGACCCCTTCAGGATGTTCTGTGGATATCCAGAAGGATCACAGTGATACGTATAATCACCTGGAGCTGGATCCTCTTGGGTCTTCCACGATGACAAGTACACCTCTCTGTCAGTTAAAAAGTTCCAACCAAGCTTCATGCCTGGTAATAGTGTATCAGTTGGGTGATCAAAACTCTGCCAAAGGAAATTATCATCACCAGCTTGTTTCACAACAAGATTCCCAGAATCCAGCAACTGTGCAATGGGATTCTGCACAGATGTAGAGGTATTAGTTGACCATACAACATTGTTAGTGTCATTGAGAAGGACGAGACGTCCTGGCTCAATAACCTTAAGGATACCTGATCCACTGGTCAAGGGAGCTTCTCTGTTGGCAACCCACACCACTGTCCTAACAGATAAGCTTTTGTACCACATACCCACGTAGCGATTTTTGGAACTACCTGAACTGAAAAACCCCATTTCAAAGGTTCCATCAGGTGAAGTAATATTGGCATCACCATCTTTTAGAAAGTGGGTTGTACTTATGGTATCTGTAGCGCCAATGCTGCGTTGAACAAAATACAAATACATGAGCAAGAATAAGTGAAAACTCTCCCTTAGCAATTCCTTCATGCTTCGCGATCCAATAGACGTTGTGTTGTCTTTCCTCTATGTCGAAGTGCTTAGCAAGTCTGCCTTCCGACTCTTATGACCAGTTCATGCAGCATATTGATGACACTTGACCTGAGTCCTATTTGAACACACCTTAGCTTGGCTGGTTTGATTAATACTCATCGTATTCTTTGGTTTTGAGATTATTTGTTTATAATGAATAGTTGAATTTAATTACAGCCACACATGGATGTTGGGGCCATGCTCTATCTTATTTGCTTACAACAACAACATCAAATCACTGACACAGTTGTGGTGATATGACTCCTTCATTCTTAATTAAAAGTCTCGGGTTCAGTCTTATGAAATCGCCTTTGTTAGAAAGCGTTTTATCCCAATGTAACTATTTTTAATTTAATCAGTTAGTGGTGCGGCTATTTGGGTTAGTTCTCAGAATTTTTTAGACTCTGCATTTGGATTTTATACCATCTCCATTCAGAAAGAAAAGACTAGTCAAAAGGTCGTTGTCTATTCAAATAATAATAATAATAATATTGCATTCCTTTCTTTTTCATCATAGTAACTTCAAGTACTCATGTGTCCAAAACTGAGCGTCTGGTCCCAACTAGGGATGTAACATCTGATCAGCATTGTTTATAAATGACCAATATTTAGTAAAAATAAAAATAAAAATGGACCTCTCAGATTATGATTCATTTTGGTACTATATAAATGCTACGTTTTCAATTCCATGCACCGACGTTCATATTAATCAGTGTATTTTATTCAAAGTATTTTTAGATGTGTGTTGCACATGCATGCAACAAATAGTATGTACGAAATAAGTCATTAAAATTGCTAATGAGAAACACTAAATTTAAAATGGAAAAGTAAATACCAAAATTAGCCAATGCAAATGACTTTTTTTAACTGAACGTAAAATAATTTTAACTTTCTACGTACCTGCAAAATTTGAACAACAAAATTATTTTTGTATTTAAAATGTACAATGTGTTGCGATTTTGATGTTATTGGGCACTACCATATAATATATTTATATTTTACCTAATACTTTCTTATAGACGATGTTTTTAGTATATGTTTCACTTCAAGGATTCAATTAGCAGTGTTCAGGAAAGCGAAGTGATGCGAGCCTCTAATACTCAGCGCTTCATCGCTTAAAGCGTTCATTAAGGCCTTATCGCTTTTTTCCGCTTCACACTTCCCTGAATACTGTCAATTAGTTTGTCATGATTAAAACACTCGGTGGATATTGGTATCCCCATCGAAAATGCAAGGTACAATTATGTAAAAAAGAAAGAAATGGAAGCAAAAAAAGAAATGGATTAATGTGTAAAAATTTGTCTCGTACTTTTATTCTTACTATGATTTCTATTTTATGAATATAGTGTATAGTATATGATTAATGAGTATTTTGTTATTCGATTAAATTAAAAATTGAATTATTAAAAATAAAAAATTGATAAATTGAACCAATAATAGATAAAATGGAATCACGAGCTATGAAACATTGAAACTGGCATTTTTTTTATCGTTTAAGTTTAATGTTGCTACTTTGTCGTGTATAAGCATCCTCCTCTCTTTTTTGTTTATTATTTTTAAATAGGATTCTTTTAAAATACATTCATGATTTGCCAATATTTACCTCAACTTTCTGTCAATTATATTGCATCAAACTCTTTAAAAAAATTACATAGATATTGTTGTCTGATTTGAATAATTCTTGTAGACTTTTTTATGATCCATTCCAGGCATGCAGAGTCTAATTAGTATTTATTTAGCTAAAAAATTCCCTTTGGATATATATGGGAAAAATTATGCGGTTAAGCAAACTTATACTACTTAATTATTCATCATAGCAATAGTTTGCTATAATTACCACTCGCGACTAACATTATACATTAATTACGTGGGCTGACTTTGAGTTTGTATAATTAGCCACGTTTGTATATGTATAATTCGCCACATTTGTATATGTATAATTCGCAGCTAACAATTCTTGTTTGATTTGTATTTGTATACGATTGTTTGTATTTGTATATGATGATGATTTCCTTTGATTTTTCAATTTTGTCATCATATACATTCAATCTTTTTGTGTATAAATTTTTAAAGTTTGTATAAATGTGTAGTTTTTGGATTTTGTATAATATAATTTATATAATGTAATCTGTATAATATATTTTGTATAATTGTTTAATGTTCATACGTTTATGTTTGTATCAATTCGTTATTTCGAGTTTTATTATATTTGTATAATTCCAGACTTTATATTACCCAATTATACAAAAACACGTGAATTATACAAACGAGATGTGAATTATATAAATTATTGTCCTCTCTCGCTCGCCTCTTTCCTCCCTCTCCCAATCTCGCTCGCCTCTCTCCTCTCTTTCCCAATCTCGCTCGCCTCTCTCATCCCTTTCCCAATCTCTCGCCAGAATATACAAATACATATGTGTAAATATACAATTATCTAACCGATATACCTATACAATTCACCCCTCCTTCTCTCGCTCGCCTCTCTCCTCTCTCTCCCAGTTTCGCTCGCCACTCTCCTCCCTATAACATGTAGCTAAGAATCGTAGTTAGCAAACTATAGTTATGGAGTGTAATTAAACTATATTCTTTCATCTTAAATTTTGTGGATCCAATTTTTTATGTGAGAAAAACTAAGAGGAAAAAACAAAGAGTAGAGAAATATATATTACGTATTTGTCATTGCACCATAAAATTAACTTGATTACAAAAAAAAAAAATACTATAATTATTTCTTTACAAGATTTTGTTACCCTAATAATTAAATTCAAGAACGATCTTGCTCCTCTCCATTTTCCCAAGTTTTTGCTTGGATGTGAGACACATGACAGATAAAAATTAATGGCTAAGATTTAATTGATTAATATAAGATTCTAACTATGTTAATATTTTATAAGAAAAATAATAATATCATAATCTTAAATTGTATGTTATAGCTATAGTTTGCATAATTGCGCTCCATAGCAAATTTTATGTTTGCTATGGAGCTTTTAATTTGTATAATTCGCTACAAACA